ATCGTCTCCAACAATGAAACATCGCCCGGCCGACATCAAATGTGTTGCTGCACAACTGCAACCTCGCCTTGGTACCTGCAATTCCACGTCGCTTTCATTCGATCCAGGCAGGGCGTTGAAGATTCGCCTATGCAAGTCATAGTTTAGGTATGACCAGTGGAAGGAACCCACCGGCAGTGGATGAAGGCCACATCAGATGAGACATGGGGGGGGCCCTCCAATGGTCACCAATTAATGCTCATGACACGCCGAGTGTTCGGCGAACCCGTTGGCATTGCAGATACCACCCCCGAACTTCCTGGAAATAGCCATGCATGGGTAAGCCCCTTGGTTGGGCAGCCCTATCTATGATGTCAACGACTCTTCACGTCGGTTTTATCATGTTCCCTACATGTTCTACGTTGTACAACATATACGTGCTACCTTGACATGGAACGCCTTGACCGCTGTTGACCGGGGGTGGCGCGTGAGCGATCATGTGACAATCTCATGCGAGTCTCCTGGAGATGGCACCCATACCTTTGCCAATCAAATGAAGTGGAAGAGACGCCGGGTGCCGTCACAGCGGGACCGTCTCGCGGGGTCGTTGCTCCATGGTTTATCCGCCGACGAACTGTCCAAGTTACCTAGTTCGCCGTGTCTCGCCGAGGTCGCCGTCCGGCCCACGGCAAGGTTTCTGGCTTAGAATTGGGGGGGGTCGTTCTGTTATGGGACGGACCTGATCTTGTTTTTCTTTTTCTTTTTCCTTGCTTGTGCCTGAGAGCGTGGCCTGGTTTGTGCTTTTCGAGAAGTTTCGGGCTCGGGGCGAAGCGGGGAGGTGTGTGTCGGTGTGGCCTTGTGTAAGTCGCTCCCCGAGATCGATGACCACGACCAACCCGGTGCAGGGCAGAGTACCGATCGATGCCAGGCGCGCCGCAGTTCTCGGCTGGTGGCGTTGTCGAGCGTGAGAATCAACGGAGCGAGTTGGCCGCGATGCCCCCCCCCCCCCCCCCCCCCCCTTTCTCCAAAAGGAAACTGTGCGAGTTGCCGTGACGCAATACTTAAGGTGAGGACTTGGATCCCGACTTAGCAGCAAATCCGGTTTGCGCCCGGCTTTGCGTAATCAACCCACCTGTTCATCTTTTCGGCTTGATTGTGCCGCTTCCAAAGTCACTATCGCCGTGGGCACGGTACGATGAGCTTCGGGGCTTGATAGATCCCTTCTTCACGATGCTATGCTGACGTCTGCTGCTCGGGTCTGTTCCTCTTAACAAAGTCGGGCCACTTATCCAGGTGTGCAGTGAGGTTATGTAGTTATACTGAATGGAACGATGCTCTAGCAGAACAAGCCAGGTCGTCCGTGTAGTGACATGTACAATAATACCCAGAAGAGCTCAGGAAAGGGGATCTCTCCCAGCGTCAGTCAATAGATTGCATCGGCTTTGTAATATGGGGGTGATCCATCTGCCAGGTCGCGAGAGGGTGAGCAGCCACAGGCTTAGCAATAACTGTTTATCGTGACGAAGCTCGGTACATGGGTCTTGGTGCCAATAGCATCCAACATCGGGTTCAAGGTACTGCCAGAAAGTCGTTTTGCAGCGTCACTCATGCCCCTTGCGTCGGGGTTGGTGCTTTCAGTCGATTCGACGGCATGAGGAGGTTCACGGGACTCCATCATGGTAGTTAGGATTCTAATAGTCAAGTGAAGCCTACGCACTACTGCGAGTTCACAACTCTCGCCAGCGGTATTGTTCCCAACATTTGCTGATATCGCAGTCCGGATGGATGCGGACAGGTAACCGACGCTAAACGTGACTCGACATACCGGGAACCAGACGAGGGAATCACAGGAAACGCTTAGTTCGTCGATTTTCGGGTTTCCGCTAAAAGGAACGAATCTGCTGCTGCCATGTCTTCAGGTCACAGATCCATGCCACTCAGGCCAACTCCTCCAGATGGGGGACAAGAAAGGCTTGTGATGCCGCTTGGCTCCTCTGGACTTCGAAAGCAATGCGGCAAAGTAGAAGTGTGAAAATGGTTAGATGCCGATGGTCCATCGCGGTCTTCTGCTTTCCACCGTTCCCATAGTTGTTCTTCGACTATGGTAGAAATGCCAATGGGTGAGCATGGTGCTTCTGGGTGCCATCGCAGGGGATGGGATCATTTGTAAAGTAAAATTTCCCACGAGCACCTGGTGCATGATACAGTTCTTCACGCGAAGGTCGATCTCATGAGAACTAGCTAGCATCGGCTGCTGGATTCTGGTCAAAGATAACAGGCAGCGCATCTTCTTTACTGCCTCGCGGAGAGGCTGTTCCGAGGCCAGTGACATGATACTCACTCATATGGCATGTGGAAATAGTCCAAAAGCTCCCTCGATTTGCCACAATCAGCCAAAGAGGGCTTCAGGGCTTCAGGGCTTCAGAGGGGCTGCAACAGTAACAGGCTGATGATACCCTTCATGATACAGTCGTGGAGGAAGATAGACGTAGAGACCTGGAGTGATCTATTAATCAGCTCTTGACCTTCCCTAACCCCGTTTTGAATGTACCAGTCGGAGACGAGGAAGAATCCCTTCGCGCATCCAGCGTTGTAGACACTTAGGACCCTCGTCCCCCTCTCGCCTTCACAGGAGCCAAAATCCACTTCTTTCGCGACGCTGTAAGACTCAGAAGGGGCTCGTGGGGTGGTAGCAAGCCCACAAGAGCGTCTCGGTCCTGTGTTGAACCCTCCGACAGACTGTTCGATTTCCAAGGAGCTTCTGGCAACCGTCCAGAAGGCAATCACAAGATTCGAGATCCAATTGTTGCCTGGTACTGGCAGTATCAGTCTCGTGGTATACTAGGCCAACAGCACAGCAATCATCTTACTTCACCTCCAGGAAAGCGTTCCAAACCTTCCAAGCTATGCGACGAAATTTGGCCAAAGAGCCGAATACATCAAGACACGCAAGGTACTCGGCACCGATGAGGGTCATATTATGACAAGAAGGCGGGCTCGGGCAAGAAAAACATGATCAGCGATGCATCCTGGGAGTCGGAGTTACAGGTATTTATTACTTGGACGACCTCGCATGCCTGTATGGCTGTCACAGGTCTCGGTCATAGCCATTCGAAGCAAACGAGGCGGTAGACTATGCATATGCGTACTGAAACATGGGTTGGTTGACGTAAAGCAAAGGTGGCCTATCGGTAAGCGTAATGTTTACCGACTATAAATCAGTTTGGCCACGTTGCCCTGCCTTGTACGCTGAACAAATATCATATGAGGCCTCGTTCGCATAAGACATGGCTGGACCGCGTGCGTCTTGTTAGGGGGGCGCTTCGACGGTCTAATAAGACACGAATTCAGATTGTGCCGAAGCCATCGGGGCCAAATAGCATCATCCTACGTGGCATTATGAGTGTGAAGAACGAGCTCGCTCCCCAATGGCAATCGTGAGGCTAGCATATTAATGCGCTGGTCCAGCGGCAAGCAAGCACGTTGCATACGCCAACCACGAGCATAGCTGTTGCTTTGCTGCTTCGATGCTAAGCAGAGTGCTCGACTAAGAGACGCACAGCCGTTGAGACTACCACGAGCCGGAGGGCTGTGGGCTGGTTGTGGTCGAGGGGAAGGTTGGTCCGAACGGCGCCACAGCCGCTGGGAAGCGTCCGTGGCGGCCGGTGGTGGTTGTCCACGGGGGCCGGTTCCTCCCACGTGATGGAAGTCGCATCATTGCTGGACAATGACGCCGGCGCCTTGCCTGATTCGGCATAATCCGACATCTTGCACAATACTACCTAGGTACATAAATAGGCACCTAAGGTATGTGTGTGGGTATGTAAACCTTCGATCCTGGACCTCGACGGTCTCATTTGGAGATGCCGGACTCGCACAAGTATTGGGTTCGGGATGACGTGGTAAAGAAGCAGTTGGGTTCGAGTAGTGTAAGCAGACAGAAAAGCTGTGTCGACCCCGTTCTTCCGCCGGCTGTCTGACAAAGTCCCTTATCAATGTGTCGCTGAAAAGGGACCGCAAGTATCCGTACAGGTTGGCGGTGCACTGTTTGTCATACCTGCGGATCCCGAGCTATTGAATGGCGCAAATGCTCGGTCAGCAGGGCAGATCGGGATGGAACAGTGAGGACGAATGGGAAAGGGAAGCTTCCGTCATTCCAGCCCGTTGGGGGGTTTTCCCCCCCTTCTTTTTCTTTCCTTGGGTGTTTGGGTTTGCTAGGAGCTCAGTCGAGGCCTAGTGCACAGCCCACCCAGCCATCGCACTTACACTTGCGCCCCGTGCCTGCACTAATCAGGCTCTCTCCTACCCAGGGAGGTACCTACCTGGTGACCTGCCTACCTACCTACCTGGGTTATCTAGGTACGTACATAGTAGGTGCTTTGTACCACCTACGTACTGAGACTGTGACGCTGCAATGCGCACCTGGCCCAAACCAACCCTTGCTTACGAGTCCCTCCCTCTCTCTCTCTCTCTCACTCTCACTCCAGATGTTGCAAAACCCTCCCGGTTTCCCATCACTACCTACCTCACTGATCGTGCTTCTTTTTACCTGGCAGACATTCGTCCAGCTCCAACCTCGTCCGTTCTGTCTTATACCCTCTTGTTTCTATTTCTTGGGCTCCGAGTCGAATAGCGTCGGGGTTTTTTTTTTCTTTTTTTTCGCAACATCCCTTTTGTTGTTGTCATTGTCAGCCGCTGCCAGAAGCACATTCGCTTGTCGATGCTTTTCCCCATCCAGGCTTTAGTCCTTTTGCCGATCCACCTACGCAGCGAGTCTGCTTCGTAACAATAACCACCACCACTACCGCCGCTACTACCACCACCACCACCACCTGCGGCCCTCATTCCCGATTCACTCCTCGAACTATATTGAACTTTCACATCCTATAAGGCCCTCACAACCCCCACGAGTACGTACGACTATCGGTTCGCACCTCCGAGACCCACATTGTCTGCATTCACGCCTGCGAAACAACAACCGCTCGAACCCCCGAAACAAGCACGCCAGGCACGCCGTCGATATGCGTCGCCCTTCGGCAGACCTCACCGACCCTTCGCGCAACCTGGAGGAGTCGGTCGGCTCGCCATCATCAAACATGGATGCAGCAGATGTCGACTTGTCCATGCCCCCGACCTCCGACGATGACATAGAAGATGCAGATGATGGCCGCATCTTCACCCCGCCTCCGCACATCGCCGCCCGCTTCTACCGTCCGTCTCAGGCTCGTCGCAAGGACTCTGCCGCCTCGTCACGCCGCAACTCCATCTCCTCTGCACATTCCCGCTGCTCCTCGACCCAGGCCTTCAATCGTCATGGTGCCCCTCAGAGCAAGCAAATCGCACAGCACCTCCGGCGCACGTCCTTCCTCGAAGATCGAAAAGCACGGCTCGCCGATCGAGCTGCCCATGCTGAAAAGGTTCGCCTGAGAGCCGCCATGGCCAAGGCCACCCACCGCGATACCTCCCTCTCCGAAGAACGAGCCTTGGCTGCTCAGCAAGCCCGCGAGAAGAACCTGGCCGAAATAGTTGCATCTTGTGCCGAGGAGGTCAAGAGGGCCAAGGCTGTGGCCGAGACCATGAAGGATAAGAGGGAACGCGAGCTCGTCAAGCTCCGCATACAGATGGAGGAGCGCCTGGCCGAGGCCGAACGCCGGCGGGTGGAGCTCAAGAACCGTAATGCTACCAAGAGGGCGCGAGGCCAGAGTTTGATGTCGCGGAAGCCAACCGAGACGTCATCGAACGCGGCCGAAAGTGATGACACCCCGCTGCTGAGTGAGCACGACGCGGCCGCAAGGCTGCAATGGTGGTGGAAGGGCCTCATGAGGAAGAAGGCCGTCGCCGAGTTCTCCGAACTAGGGCTTACCATTGAAGGTGTGCGGGATACGTCCTTTGATGAGGTCCTGGAGCTCTTGGGTCAGGAGAAGGTTCTCGTACGCACCGCCCGCGTCCTGCGCATCTGCGGTTTGCAGGAGGGCGAGACAGGGTCTGTCGATGAGATGGCCGCCGTCCGTACATTCCTCAGCGCTTTCCTCATCTTGGGTCATCCCACCCAGGTCCTGAGCAACAAGGACGGCACGGGGGACAGGGAACAGGTTGGATCATCGCAGCCTCAACCGTTGCCCCGTAACGACCTTGCTAATCCTCAGCTGCAGGACCTCGTGACGAAAGCCCGAGATCTCCTAATATCTTTCGAGAATATCATGTCACGGCTGACCGCTGCCAATAACTGCACCCCCCCGCCAACTCTGCGCATTGCACTGCCCGAGATTTACGCCACTTTTTACAACGCGTTCCTCGCCTGGAAGTCTCGCGATTCAGAGTCCCTCGTGCAGCTGATGCTCTTACAGTTTGTTGAGCTGGACATGATCTTGCAGACGGTCCAGGAAAGCACCGACGACGCTGCCGCAGAGCAGTATCGGGAGAGCATCAAGAGCAACCAAGTCCAGCTCATTGTGCGGATCAAGAAACTCGCCGGTCAGGAGAGGGGCAAGAAGATGATTGCAGACGCCGTCCGCAAAGCACGCAAGGCGCGGGCGGCCAAGAAACCCACTGGCGACATGAAGCCCCGCGTTGCAGAGAACGCTGCGGGGGAGGCCTCTGCCACTGCCGAGAGTCTCGTGTCTCCCGAGTTGCAGACGCTAACGCCGCCGCCGACGCCGGCCAAGGGACACACGAATCCGCAACCCATTGAGATGAAACCCGGCTTCAGTGGCCTGCTGCCCGACAACAGGATTGTGGTTCATGAGCTTGCCATCAACCGAGAGTACCGTATTCCAGCCAGCGAGTATCGGGAGCACCGTACTGCTCTTCAAATACCCCTGTTCGCAGGCATGCGAGCTAGTATGGAGGAAGACAACCTTGGCGCCAGCTTTGGCTACTTCATCGTTATGATGAGGTACTTCAAAGACAACCTGCAGCGGCTAGTGAAGGCAGGCGCATACATGCACAACACAATCGGCGAGATATTGGACACGGAGGTGGCGGAGCGCCAGTTCCAGATCGGCAGTTTCTCTTACGAAAAGTTCTTCGTCTCCATGGCGTCTCTCCTGCCCAAGTTGTGTGCGCCTTTCCGCGATGACGAGGTCAAGGACTTGGTCGATAACAAGCTCCAGAACGGAAGCTTGGTTGACCGGGTCGAGGCGCTGACGGAGTTTGTTGATCTGATGCTCTGCGACTACGTCAACTACATGTTCTCGACGGCAGCACCGCAGCTCATCGAGTCTGCTCCCGAGTACGAGAAGAGGAGGTTCGCCGCCGCCTTGGAGACGGGGCAGCACGGATTGGACGCTGCAGAGGTGGCGTGGCGAGCAGCACGCTCCAAGGTCCTGGCCGAAGCCCGCAAACGGGATCCCGAGGGTATCAACCACCCAAGGTCCCGGCCAACAGACGACAAGATTTACGCACAGCTGCTTGTTGACTGTTTTACCCAGCCCGCACCCATCGCCGTCGGTACGGTACCCGAGATGCTGGGCCTGGACTACAAGCGGATGACGCGGTTATCCCTGGCCTCGCAGCGAATTGTCACGACGGGAGCCATCCTGCTACAGTGCAAGAATCTTCTCAAGCGGGACGTACGCACACCATGGAAGACGGAGGCAACGCGCATCACAGCGGTTCTCGAGGCGGACCACGAGAACATGGGTTCAATCGTGCAGGGCGTCATGGCGGCGCTCGAGGGCGGTCGGTCTATGCCAGCTGCAACCAAGACGCACCTAAAGGCGTTGGTGACCAAGGTGCTCAACGCGAGCCAAGACTCGATGAGGAAGAGCGTCGAACCGACGGAGCCGGTGTTGCGACTTCTCCTGGCCCGTCTCCGAGGCCACATGAATACCAGACTGACGGCAGGATCGGCCAAGGAGAAGCTCAACGCGGCGACGACGGCGCACGAGAAGCTGGCCGGGCTGGGCCTAGCCGAATTTGCGGTGCAGGTTCGAGAGATGCTAGACGAGATCTCCAAGGTCGGGGCCGTGGACAGAGCGGCTCACGGGTCGTGGTGGAACCAAGTGGCGGCCAAGGTGGCAGCGGAAGACGGGGCGGGCAACGGAAGCCCGTCTTGAGGTTACGATGAAGAGCACATATGGGTGGGCGCATGCATGCATGATACGATATACGGGTAGAGGATGAGTGAGGATGGGGAGGAAGCATACTCCAGGACTTTCTTGACGACGTGACGATGTACTTGTTCGGGGCTCGGATGGGACAGGAGTTACGGGTGAACGGGTTGGTCTCGATACATTTCGATAGCATTGTTTCAAGCGTTGAACTTTGGGCGGGCTCATCAATGGGATGGACTCTGCTGCCTGATGGACGACGACAGGAGGCGCACACATACATGAAGACATCAACTTGATGAAGAGGTGCCGGGGAAGCGTTAGCGGGTATTTGGAAACGAGCATGGGACGCTTCACACAATGAATATGACGTACAAACGGAAAGTAAGCATTGGTTATTCAATTTCAGATTAGCTTTTACTGTTCAAGTGAGTTTCCCAGGGCAGTGTTGTGTACGGAGTAGTCCAAGAATGATAACGATGATAATGGTGATGTGTGTACGAATACTGGGCGAGTGTAGGTCCGTATATATTGAGCATAAGCCACCACAGCCATGCCTGCATGCATGCATGGTTAGCTGCTATGTAGCCCCGTTTTCTGCCCCCTCCCTCCCAAACAACTAACACCCGCGCGGAACCAGCCGAGTTGACGCGCTGGGCTCCTGGGACGACGCAGCTGGCAGAGATTTTCCCATGTCCCCCCAATCATTCAGGACAATGGCCAGCCAGAGAGGTCGATTGACTGCATACAGCCTGCCTCCAACCCACACAGCTAGCTCTAGACCATATAGAGCTGTAGCGTTTCCGCCTTTCACGGCTTTCACGGCTTGCGGGCCTTCCGCACGCGCGAGAGAAAGAGAGAGAGCAAGGAAGGATGAACCCAATCGGGCAGCTGCTGGCCGGGCGGTCGTGGGCGGCGCGTGGGATTCCCGCCATTCGTCGTCTCACCCACCACAGCTCTGCATCACCACTGTTTACCCCCTTTTCTGTACAACCACTTGGCGACCCGGCTTCGCCCTTCACTTCATCTTCGTATAACATCTGTTTCACGAGTCGTTTCTCAGGAACATCCGTCATCGGGACCGCTGCCACTGCCACCGCCACTGCCAAAGCTACCAACTTTCTCTCGTATGCCCCGATCGTAGGGAGGATCGGTCGCCATGGCTTCGTTGCTGCGAGGTATGTCATGTGGCTCTCATTGTCTTTTCCATCCTTCCACACATCCACACACACACGTAACCCCCCGAATCCTTCCTCTCCCACGCATTTTTGGGCTCCATAACGGATAGCAAAGGCTTAGCGATTCTCGGAAGAAGGCACTGGTCTCTCTTTCTGTGCAAGAGTTTACAAAGCCGAACCTACCTACATACCCATAGCGGAAGGTATCAGTGGCCAATATCTGGGTAATGAGTTCATATTGGTGGGCACCCGCCAACCAAGCTTACTCATGAGTGGCCGGGCCTAGAGACATACCACTTTAACCAACCGACCTGACCCATGCAGGGACCATTGTCTGCCCCTCGTTGCCCCTCACCTCGGAGCATCACCATTGATTGATCCACCATCTCTCACACCTCTCTCTCTCTCTCTCTTCTATCGCCAAAGAAAAGAAAAAAAGACACCATCTCCCCCCACCATTGCCGCTGCCTTGTGAATAATCCCAAGTAGGAAGGCCACACTTGTGGAGCTCTACCTCGGCTTTTTCTTCTGCCTTCCCCATTCCTCTTGTCCATCAACAGCGTGTCTCGGTCTTTCTTTGTCCTTGAACTGACACAAAACTTCCTCGCCATCTCAGCAGCCGCAGGCGACCCTCTTCTCCCTTCCCCGCACCTTCCCACCACTGGAGCTGCCGCAACTACTGTTCGACCATCACCACATCCGACAAGGCCCTGTACGCCAGCAGAGTAGGCAACATGGCTGATCGCGAAGTCCTCCCCGAGTCCATTCGGCCCTCCCACTACGTCCTGTCGCTGCGTGACCTCAACTTCAAGGACTGGACGTACAAGGGATCCGTGACGTAAGAATCCACATCCCTCTGCCCCTCATCTGCAACCCTCGCCCCAGCTCAAGCTCAAGCTCCAGCTCCAGCTCCAGCTCCAATTCAGGCAATCTCCGATGCGCGAACTCCTTCCTTGCTGACTCCCGTGGCCTTCCTACAGCATCGACGCCGAAGTTATTAAGTCCACCAAGGAAATCGTCCTCAATGCCCTCGAGATCAAGCTTCTCAGCGCAAAGATCACCGTCGGTCACACAAAGTCGACGCAATCATGGGAGACCTCCAACTTCAGCTACGCCGATAAGCAGCAGCGCGCCACCATCACCTTTGACGAGGAGATCCCCCAGGCCCAGAAGGCCCTCCTCACCATCGAGTTCGAGGGAATCATCAACAACGAGATGGCCGGCTTCTACCGCAGCAAGTACAAGCCCACCGTCGAGCCCGCCAAGTCGGTGCCCCGCGACGACGAGTGGCATTACATGTTCAGCACCCAGTTCGAGTCTTGTGACGCCCGCCGCGCCTTCCCTTGCTTCGACGAGCCCAATCTCAAGGCTACTTTCGACTTCGAGATTGAGATCCCCGATGACCAGGTCGCCCTTAGCAACATGCCCGTCAAGGACACCAAGAAGACCAAGGACGGCTGGCAACTCGTCTCCTTCGAGACCAGCCCCAAGATGAGCACTTACCTCCTCGCTTGGGCCGTCGGTGACTTCGAGTACGTCGAAGACTTCACTGAGCGCCGCTACAACGGCAAGCAGCTGCCCGTCCGCGTTTACACTACCCGTGGTCTCAAGGAGCAGGGCCGCTGGGCCCTGTGGCACGCGCCCCGCATCATCGACTTCTTCTCCGACATCTTCGGCATCGAGTACCCCCTCCCCAAGGCCGACCTGCTCGCCGTCCACGAGTTCACCCACGGCGCCATGGAGAACTGGGGCCTCGTCACCTACCGCACCACCGCCGTCCTCTTCGACGAGAAGACGTCCGAGGCGAGGTACCGCAACCGCGTCGCCTACGTCGTCGCCCACGAGCTGGCCCACCAGTGGTTCGGCAACCTCGTCACCATGGACTGGTGGGACGAGCTTTGGCTCAACGAGGGATTCGCCACCTGGGTCGGATGGCACGCGACCGATTACCTCCACCCGGAGTGGCAGGTTTGGTCTCAGTTCGTCAACGAGGGTATGGAGATGGCCTTTAAGCTTGACGGCATCCGCGCCAGCCACGCCATCCACGTGCCCGTCAAGGACGCCCTCGACGTCAACCAGATCTTCGATCACATCAGCTACCTCAAGGGCTGCTCGGCGATCCGCATGCTCGCCAACCACCTCGGCGTCGACACCTTCCTCAAGGGCGTGTCCAACTACCTCAAGGCCCACCAGTACGGCAATGCCAAGACCAAGGAGCTGTGGGATGCCCTTACTGAGGCCTCCGGCAAGGAAGTCAACAAGCTCATGGGCCCCTGGATCTCCAAGATCGGCCACCCCGTGCTAACTGTTGCCGAGGAGCCCGGCCAGATCTCTGTCAAGCAGTCCCGCTTCCTGTCCACGGGCGATGTCAAACCCGAGGACGACGAGACCACTTGGTGGATTCCGCTCGAGCTCGAGGGCAAGGTCGGCGCCAAGGGCATCACGTCGCTGTCCCTGGAGAAGAAGGAGGACACGATCCGCGACATCGACAACGAGTTCTACAAGCTCAACTCGGGCGCCTCCGGCTTCTACCGTGTCAACTACCCGCCTGAACGCCTTCTGAAGCTCGGCCAGCAGCTCGACCGCCTCAGCACCGAGGACAAAATCGCCATCATCGGCTCGGCAGCCGACCTCGCCTTCTCCGGCTACGGCACCACCGCTGCCCTGCTGTCCTTCGTCCAGGGCTTCGCCAAGGAGGATAACTACCTCGTGTGGAGCCAGGTCCTTGACTCCATCGCCCTCGTCAAGTCTATCTTCAGCGACGACGAGACCATCAAGAAGGGCCTCGAGGCCTTCACCCTGAAGCTTATCAACGACGTTGTCGCCAAGATGGGCTGGGACTTCCCCGAGGACGAGAGCTACCTTGACGGTCTTCTGCGCAAGAGAGTCCTCGTGACTGCCGGTGTTAACGGCCACGCTGGGTAAGTCCATGCTAATCCTACGTGCCTCACTGCTCGAGACTGACAAAAGAACAACACAGCGTAACCGAGGAGGCCACCAAGCGCTTCAACGCCTGGGTCGAGTCCCCCGAGTCCAACCCCTTGCATCCGGCTCTCCGGACCCCCGTCTTCCGCGTCGCCATCAAGAACGACACTGCCCGTGCCGTCGAGGCCCTCAAGAAGGAGTGGTTCACCACTCCGGCCATCGACGGCAAGGACATTTGCCTCTCCAATCTCGGCTTCGTTCGCGACCCTGAAATCATCGAGAAGACCCTCCTCCCCTTCCTCTTCAACAAATCCCCGCCCGCTCCCGCTTCGGACTCGGTCCCCGCCGCCGATATGCACACCCTCGGCTCCGCCCTCGCCGGCAACTCAGCCTCCCGCCAGCTGCAGTGGGATTACGTCAAGGCCAACTGGGATGCCTGCGTCGCCAAGCTCGGTAACCCCATCGTCGTCGACCGTTTCATCCAGGTCTCGCTTAGCAAGTTCACCGACTTCGCTACCGTCAACGACATTGAGGCCTTCTTCGCCGACAAGGACACGAGCGCCTTCAGTCGTACCCTCGAGACCGTCAAGGACAAGATTCGCGGTCGCGCTGCCTACCGCGAGCGTGACGCCGAGAAGCTGAAAGAGTGGCTCGTCGCCAACAAGTACGCGTGAATCCATGATGGAGGGATAGTGGAGCCCGACAGAGTAGAGAGGCCGTACAGGGCAGCCAGGCTGTAGCCAGCTCGGATGAAAGCTAGTTTTGTGAGAACAAAAATCAAAATTGCGTTTTACCGTTGTCATGTCGGAGGCTAAACTGCGCGGGCCAGCTTGTGATGATGAAGTAAACGTCATGGGACGTCACCGCAGACCCTGTCGTTGGGCGAATGCGAGCGAGTGGGAC